GGAGTCACAGGTATCAATCTGAGTAAGTGTGCAACCTTCAACTCTCTTTGCCCCCGGGAAATTAAAGGAAAAACCTACAGTAACCATCTTAGTTACATGTGGGAACACCACCTCAGAGCCTCTCAGAGCCTCTCTGTTACTTGAGGAATAGCACCAACACCAGTGTTTCCCCTATATATAAATAGTGGCGGCGCAGCGCTGCTGCTGAAATATGCGCGCCGCTACTAGGGGGCGCCAGCCAGGTACCCACCATTTTTTTTAATGGGATAATAATGGGATAAAATAATAAAATAAGAATACGTTTTTCATTTTTGATTGTTGGTTATGTGGATTTGTAGTATTTGTGTTACTGTATGTTCAATAAAGGTGTATTTTTGCTCAATCTTGAGACATTGCCACTGTATGTACTAGGCAGGGCCGACATAGGCGGTCGCCTAGGGCGCCAGATCTGGGGGGGCGCTGCGTTGGCAGCTCTGGGAGAAAAAAAATAAAATGTTTTGACCGTTGGCGCTCATCCTAATTTTTGGCCTTGATGTAACAACATTCATAATTAAGTAAATGTAACACCCTTTTCACCCGGTTACACTTTTCATTTGCCCTGTACGATGGGCGCTGTAAGTGATGAAAGTGGGGGATGTTGGCTTATCTGGTGCCCACAGCTCACAGCCAAAGTGCGAGCATGAGAGCGAACGAGGGAGAGAGAGAGAGGGCGCACCGGTACCGGCGCTGTTGTTATTAGAATCTGGTGCTAGCTGCGCTAACGGATATAAGAAGTAGATGTTTCTACAACCAGGGTGGAGGAGAGCTCTCCTGTCAGACTGAGAGGCTCAGTGGGGTAAAGGACTCTCTGAGTGTTTAGATAGTTAATTTTAGTCTAAGTTATCACAGTGGGTCTCAAACGTTTTGACCACAAATTATGTAAACACATATTTCCAAGGCACTCCTTTATAATTATTAGGATAAATAAAAACAGGTTTGAAATCATTCCAATGTATACTATAGGACAGTAAACCAAAAATATCGTTTAAAGTTGGAGAGGTACAAAAATATGCATAAATAAATAAATGTTAACTAGGTAAAATAAGATATGAATGAACAACAAAAATAAAATAAGTAACATTTATTTGTTATTGGCTATGGTAGGTTATTGGTTATGTTCATATACTTATTTAATTATTAAAATGTAAACTGATCTTTTTCATATGGGTGTTTTAGAGGTGTACCCCCTAGATCAGGTCTCTAGTAATTGTGTGCTCAAAGTGCACCAGGTTGTAGCATTTTACTATTCCCCCGGACCCCCCTAGAGGATGTGATGTCCACCCCCCAATTCAAACATGATACTGAATACATTTGAAGCCATTTGGGCATATATAATATATTACCTATGTCAATAAGTTTCTGTTTTTGTAGTGTATTTGTCTTTTGTAGAGATTTTTCATTTATATATAAAATCTCGCATAGGGCAGCAAATTGGCTAGAACCGGCCCTGGTACTAGGCCTCAAGAGCCTTTCGTGTGCTGGCAGACACATAGAAACAAATTGGCGTGGCGCACTTCGCACGTGCACACACTAAAAAATTCTACGCTCACATTATGCTGGGCCCACGTGCCTTAGCACCGCTGCTATGACTCGAAACACTGAACACATTTTCCTTCATTTGGTTTTTTGATGATAAAGCTGGAGAGCACTGAGATATGGTGAATGGGAAAGCAAAAGCATATTGGTTTCTATCCTAATCATACGCTCAGTGACCCTTCGTGCCCTGTGTGGAGGCATATTGTTTCCTGGAGTTATTTATTCAGGTTTATTCTTGAAATGTACTGCACTCTTCTTAAACGTTTCAATGAATGAGAAGGAGGAAAGTATTTAGGGAGATTAGCTAAGGTAAACAGAAATGTGGGAATCAATAACTCCAAATCACATCTGCCAATGCAAAAGCAGAGAAGAAAATAATAAAGAGTATTCATCCTCCGGTAAACAGAATATTGCCTGAACTTTGGACTGAAACAGTACATAAGCGTTTTGATACTCCAACAGCTAATGAGGCTGTATTATATGGCTTTAGAACACATCATAGCACAGAGACAGCTCTGGTTAAAGTCACAAATGACATTCTAATAGCCTCAGACAAGGGACCTGTCTCTATTCTTGTTTTGCTCGATCTCAGTGCTGCATTTAATACTATCGACCATGATATCCTATTGCAAAGACTAGAGCACTTAGTTGGCAATGGCATACAGGGAACTGCTTTAGGCTGGTTTAGGTCCTATCTATCTGAACGCTCTCAGTTTGTACGTGTCAACGATGAATCTTCCACGCAAACCAAAGTTAGCCATGGAGTGCCACAGGGTTCAGTGCTCGGACCTATTTTGTTCACATTATATATGCTTCCGTTAGGCAATATTATAAGGAATCATTCTGTAAACTTTCATTGTTATGCGGATGATACTCAACTATATTTATCAATCAAGCCTGATGAAATTAATCATCTAAATAAAATTCAAGACTGCCTCAAGGACTTAAAAACGTGGATGACCTTACATTTTTTTATGTTAAACACGACCAAAACTGAAGTTATTGTACTTGGCACTAACTATGGATGGCATTAATTTGGCCTCCAGTGAGACTGTCAATTTCAAGGACCGCCTACTTCCATCTACGTAACATTGCAAAAATCAGGCATATCTTGCCTCAAAACGATGCAGAGAAACTAGTCCATGCATTTGTTACTTCAAGGTTGGATTATTGTAACTCCTTATTATCAGGGTGTACCAAGAAGTCAGTCAAGTCGCTTCAGCTGATTCAAAATGCTGCAGCTCGTGTTCTAACCAGAGTTAGGAAAAGGGACCACATTACTCCTGTTCTGGCTGCCTTACACTGGCTCCCTATAGAACACAGGATAGAATTTAAAATTATTATTCAGGCGCCATCTTACCTTAAATAACTCATTATACCCTACTGTCCTACTAGGGCATTGCGTTCCAAGAATGCAGGGTTGTTGGTTGTTCCTATAGAGTCTCTAAAAGTACAATGGGAGCCAGAGCCTTTTCTTATCAAGCTCCACATTTGTGGAATCAGCTTCCATTTTGTGTTCGGGCGGCAGACACCATATCCGTTTTTAAGAGTGCGCTTAAGACCTTCCTTTTTGATAAAGCTTATAGTTAGGGCTGATTAGATTCAGCCCCTAGTTTTGCTGATATAGGCTTAGTTTGTCGGGGGACATCTTACTTCTTCCTTCTCTCTGTCTATACCTGTGTACTCTCATGTTCCGATTAACCCAGCTTCCCCAAATGTCTTTCTTTTTGGTGTCTATATACGCCGGGATCCGGAGTCATGGATGATCCTGCGGTCCTGTGTCCTGGATCGCGAGCCCTGGATCTTGAGTCGTGGCTGTGGTCCTGGATCATAAGTCCTGGATGGATATCCTCGTGGATTCATCTTCCTATTATACACACATGCATTTCCAAACATTTGGTCTACCTATGTTGCAAATGTATTATCTTTTCAATTTACACACGGCATCTATTGCACGTCTGTCCGACCTGGGAGAGGGATCCCTCCTCTGTTGCTCTCCCTGAGGTTTCTCCCATTTTTCCCTTTAAACTGTGGGTTTTCCCCGGAGGTTTTTCCTTGTACGATGTGAGGGTCTAAGGACAGAGGGTGTCGTATTGTCATACTGATATTCTGTACAAACTGTGAAGTCCACTGAGACAAGTGTAACATTTGGCTATATAAATAAACATTGATTGATTGATTATATAGTGAAGTTATTTTCAAAGAAGTTCTCTTTCAGACTTGGGTTAAAACCCTCTTTTTATTTGACTTAACATAGAATTCTCTTTTCCCAATAAAATGCCCTCGTTCTCATGTAACCTGTTTGAATGTGTGCGAAGGAGATGCGTTTGGCTGGAAACTATGATATAGATGTGCTATGGGAATTTCACAATAAAGGCGTTTGTTAAAGATAATGAAATGTATTGATATTTTGCATTGATGCTATTGGATGATTGATCATTAAATCAGTGCATTGATCCATATCCCACACCCCTAAAATACTTAACAAGTTATCCCCAAGAATATAATGGTTCATTCCTTCACCATAACAGAATAAGGGTTTATGTTAAAAAATAACCCCAATTACCTTTAAGACAAGCATCTGGGGCCCAACTTTCTTCTCCCCTTGTGTTCCACCAAATATATTCTTACAAAATATCTAAACACTCCATAAGCTTAGATTTCATTATCCCAGCTACACAGTTAAGCTGGTTAGCTTCATCCAGCACAGTGTTTTCCGAAACACAGCGTAGGCGGTTGGTTGCATTTGCATCCATTTGCCTGAAATATTTTCAGCATTTTAACTGAATTCAGTGGACTGCTTTCGTGTTGCACTGCTTTAATGCTGCTTGAGATGCATTTTCACCCTGCCTAAAAATATCTGAAGCGAACAGTTTGGATGTGACCATGGCTAACAGTTGGTGACAGTAGCAGTGGCTCATGAGCCATGCTGTTTTGTCAGCATGTGGTGAGCCGGCCAGCCAGCAAGTCAGTCATACAAAAGAATCACTGAACTTCTCCCTTTGCCTTTACCCTCTCTCATCTATCCCTCTGTTTATATATATCTGTAATATATATCCACAGCTGTACCATGGTTCAGTTTAAGCTGCTGAAAACACACTCTGCTATTTGTTGTACTTAGAGGGGGGTATATGGACCATACTGAATTAGAAATGTTGTAGTTTGAATAAGAAAAGCTACCTGCTAGAAGACAAGTGTGGATCTGTCCATGGTGCTGAAATTAGAAAGTGATGTAGCACTCTGCTTCCCCATCTCCATCCATCTATCTATCTCATCTCCTTTCCAAACTAACTACTAAATAGCATGCATGACTCAACAAGAAGATGTATCCGGTTTGCTATCAAACCAATGTTGAATCCAACATAGGAAAGAGTGTATGGAGAATAAAAGAACATCTTATGTACTTATAGGATGAGGACTCTTACCTGCAGAGATAAGAGGAATTCACCGGGTCACATCTAGGGTAGAAGTGGCTCCCTGGAGCTCAGGTCGCGTCCTCTGCTGGTTGTAGATTGTGTCGACTTCAGTCACTGAATAGTGAAACCAATAGCAAAAAAGCCCAAATGTCAGCAAAGTAATCAGCAAAACGCTGAAGTGCCAGTAAGTCAATCGACTTTAGTCCAACAAAAAACCGGTTGGCTGACCCTGTGTAGTTGCTAGTTTAAAAAAAAGGTAAAATAGTACATGTGTGCTTATTCTTTGTTGTCGGACTACTTTTCCACACCAGTCCTTTCATTCGCATGCAAAACGTTTTCTGTCCAATTCCAAACTCGCAGAAAGACACCCGAAAAGCACTCCAAAGATGATGAAAAAAACGCTCCAATAGTAATTACAATGCCTCCGGAAAGACGCGTCAGCCACACACCACTGCTTGTCTGGAGTTGTTTGAACAGGAGAGACCGCTTCACCAACGCTGCTCTCAGATAAAGCACTCCTACGCAAACATCATCATCAGCCTCAGCAGCATGTGTGTTGGAGGAGGAGACGAGGTGATAGAAAATCTCGACATCTCCATTTCAACCACCAGTTCCCCACCGTCCGAGGAGGTCGAGGTCAGATTTTTGCTGAAGCGATTCCACACAAATCGACGCGGAGCTTTCCCCCCCTTATTAATCTATGTATCTATCTCATCCCCTTCTCCTGTGTGTTTGTCTCTTTGCGCCGCATGTTTGGCGAAAAATTAGCCAGCTGCTCGCCTCTCGGGCTACTAAGTGTCCCCGAGAATACCGGCTGCTGTATATTTACATGCACGGTTCCTGGATTTCCGCATATAGTTGCTGATTCCTGCAGAGAGAGGTCCGGCGCTGCGCGGAGACGAGTCAAATGAATTCAGAGGTGGCTCTTTACTGCCTGCAGACCCAGTGAGTGATGCAGCCTGAAGTGTGCAGCCTGAGAGATGGCGCTTTAGTCACAGATTGGCGGTGGGTGCTATAGAGAGAAGAGACAAGAGAGAGGGAGGGGAGGGGAGGGGGACAAGATGCTTGATGAAGTCCCTTCTGACTTCCAAGCAGAAGTCTGTCAGCTGTGTGCCTTTTTGTGGGACTTCATGGGATGCAAGGTTGCTGAAATTGTAGACATTTTAATTAGGCTACACATGGTCGTATACCTCCAAAGTCACCATGACAAGTGTGGACAAATAAAAGAAAAGTGCATGTCCTCAGACACGTTGGTGGAGCCTGCAACCTAAGATTTTTTAACTATACTGTAGCTATGTACGTATAACAAATAAAAGCCTTGAACCTTGAACCTCGAACCTTGAACAAACTCTCCAAATGTATAACCAACACACAGCCAACTGTATAAATCAGAATTCTTCACACTGGAAACCAGAATGCAGAGAAGATTCATTAAGCTTCCCAGTTGCAGCAGTTAATCACCCAAGCCACATGAGACAACCAACACATAACGATAATTAAACTATTACACCTGTCCTCTGCCAAAGGTTCAACCAAGGTGAAAAAACAAATTGTCCCTCTGTCTGGAACAAAACGTCCATTAAAGTCCATTAGGACCACAGACACATTCGTCCCTTTGAAAGATTATTGTGTCCCTCTGTCTTTTGTCATTTCACTCTGTTGATCTGTTTGAGGACATGTCAGGAAGTCCATCCGTAGATGAGATTGTTTTCTACTTTTAAGTCCCTTTCATGTGATCCATGAGACACTCTCTGTGCCACAGTATTCCCATCTTGTCAACTTCTAAACGCCACTGTTGTACCACTTCTTTTTCTTTCATCTTTATTCATCTGTCTTCTTTCTCCTCTTTTACTCTTCACTCATCGTCTCCTCTAATTACTCATCCAGCCCTACAACGTCTAGCCTCTCACATTCAGATCAGACGAGGGGCAGTTTGAGGCAACGTTAAGAGTAGCAGTGTGAGTTTTTATTGCATTCATTATTCAAACAGGCAGAAGTGGAGATTAGTGCACTTTGAGAGTGTGCCGCGTTGAAATATTTATATTGGGAGAGATTGAGATGGTTGCATTTGTCATGTTGAGGGGAGTTCAGCTTTTATCCATTCCACTCTCTCTCCTTTTGTGTGTGTGCGTGTGTGTGTGTGTGTGTGTGTGTGTGTGTGTGTGTGTGTGTGTGTGTGTGTGTGTGTGTGTGTGTGTGTGTGTGTGCATTTGTATGTGTGTGCATTTGTATGTGCATTTATGTGTGCATTTGTGTGTGCATTTGTGCATGCATGCATACAAGATGAGGTGTATCAGAGTGGCTAAGAGGCATCTTGACCTATAAGAGTCAATTGCAGAATTTAAATAAAGCTTTCTTTACTATATCAATGAAGCGGGGTGTACAATAGATAATTGCAGTTTAACCACTGCAATCAAGGACAATCTTTTAGTCAAAGCTTGTTTACCAAACAGGCAAAGTGGGCAACCGCCTTGGGGCCCCAGAACCTTATGGGCCGCAGATGTCCCGGGTTAACTACACAGATGTCAATTGGTTTTGGTGGTTTGCAAACTTGTTAGTTATTGGCACCAGTGAAAGTGAAAAAACAATATGGATCTTTAAACATGACGTGACACAATATATATTGTGTAGAAAAGTCACATTTATATCTATGCTCAGTTCTATACACTCAGGTTTGAACCTTCTTGATCTTTAGCTTATTGGGACTTACATTAGCTTAAACTTTACTTTTATATATCTGTGTTATGTGATAACTTTATGACTCTACTACTTGTATTTAGATTTTTCTGTGGTTACCGCCTGTGGCCACAAGGGTTGCTGCTCAGCAAATTCTACATTGGCTTTAACTTAGACAGATGTTGTGGCAAGGTGGCACAATGTTTCAAGTTTAAGACCTTTCACTGTAACAGCCATATAGTGAATACTCCAAATAAAGTTGGTTTTAATTGAATTCCTGCAAACTATTACTGGGTCAGGTTCTGTTGGTATCGTCATCTCTTGGCAAACGATGATGAAGTGCTTGGGTAGTTTGAGAATTTATTCGAAAATAGTTGCGACTGTAGTTTCTGTAGTTTATTTGTATACTGCTTTAAATTAAAAAGTGTTATTTGATTTTATCAAATGTCTGTATTAATAAATGGGCAATTTACAGTATTTAGCAAACCTGATAAAAGAGCAACACTAATGAATACAAAATATCCAAGGGCTTTAAAATCATTGTGAATACATTAATAATCTCTCTGATGCCGTCTCTGTTGTAGGACTATTCAATAGTATTGGTTTATGTAATACATTTCATATAATTCAATCAGTGAATACATGCAATACTAACTATGCATAATACAAAAAATATATTCATAAGTTATGGATCATTTGTCAGTGAGATTCCTAATTCTTTTTGGCATCTGTGTGCCCATGCATAAGCCTCTCCTAAACTGATAGCAAAGCATCATGGGAAAGTTGTAGGGGCAATTTCTGGATTGTTCTAGGCAGGGAAATGTCAGATAGCCCCCCAGGCACCCACACACAAACACACACAACATGACATGATTACCCAAAGGGACCATCATTCTCTCCCTAAATCTGTTCTTCCCCACCCATCCCCCACTCTGTCCCTCTCTTTTTCTGTCGTTCCATCCAGATCACGGCCGACTTTACGGCGTTTAGGTTTGCTGACACCTCAGTAATGGCAGCAGTAAGATAAGTGTGCATGTAAGAGAAATGAGAGGGCAGGAAGAGAGTGAGAGGGTGATCACCAGTAATGGAGAGCAGTGTGACAGAGGAGAGGTAAGTGAGGTGGTGTAAAAGATGAAAAGAAAGAGAAAGGCACATGTAGAAAGGGATATTATTTAGCCTCATATGAAGCCACAGACACACACATCTCTTTTTGGCCTCTTCTGGAAAATAAATGCAATGGTTTGACGTCATGAGCAAATGTAATATGCATTTGCATTTACCCTACAGCACTTTTGATGACGAGCTTGCCCTGAAATTCAAAGGAATTTTAAATGTAGTGAATCATCCCTACATGAAAGTAGTGGACAGAGATGTGTAGCAGCCATCTTCTGTAAACTGTCCATCCATCCTGTACTTATCCCTATTGCTATTAAGAGTGATAACACCAGGCTGAAAAGCAGAGCTTCACTGCCCTCTGTGGCTGTGAGCCTGTTTCACTTTGGCGTGGTCAGATGGGGGGGTTTGTTACACCTTTATATTACTGCGGCAAGGTGAGAAGAACCACTAGAGGTAGGTAAGCTAAAGCAAGATTTGCAGGAGTAGCAACACAAGGTTTGGTATTTTTTCCAGACAGGCAACCCTTTAGTTTAGGAGTGGACAACTGTAACGTTAATCATTCATTTTTATTTTTACATTACTTGTAAATTATCAAAAACATGTGAGTAGACAACTTGTTCCAGCCTTGCCCCGGGATGTAAAGAGAATTTCAACAAGTCTAACAAAAATGTTTTAAAACATTACCCATTTTGCTTTGAGCAAACAAAAAACGCACAACGCTCCCTAATACCAACCGAGGACAGGATCCTATTGGCTGTTTCCATAACTTAAACCACTATCTTTCTTATAATCTTTCATTAAACACAACATTTGATTTATATTGATTGAGAGTAGACCAACTGATAGCCCGGCCTCTACAAGGAGAGGTAAAGAACGTATCAGTGACATAATTCTAGGCGTTTTACAACACAGATATTTTGACTTGTAATAATAATAATAATACATTTTTAATTTATATAGCGCTTCTCATCTGCCAAGACAAATCTCGAAGCGCTTCACAGCAAAGGACACTGATACAATTTGAAAGATTAAAAAAATAATAATAATTAAAAAATTAAAATAATAATATTGTAATAGTATAGGAAAACCAAAGGTGTTACAAAAAATATGAACGCCTCTTTCTTTCTCAGTAGACTCTGACAGTGGGTAAGGGTCTTCATAATAAAGAATTATATCTGTAGACCCTATTATAACCCTTAATTATTTCATTCCCACTGTCAAAAATATGTTTCCTGTAACTACTAATTCACTGTTCTGTCAAGCTCCCTGTTTGTAGCCTTTTGCAGTTTGATTACTAAATGTGTGTAAAAGCTAGGGACAGGCTAAAGAGCACACACACTTCACTAACCTTTCAAACCAACCCTGAATGTGTCCCTCTTTTGTTTGAAACCCATAATTGACAGTTTGATTAGGTCTTCTACTGCCTGAGGCAGTGGCTTAAAGGAAAGGGCCTAATGCATTAATGCCTTGTTTACGCCTCCACATGTGCTTGCTGCACCCTAAATCCACTTTGAATCAAATACCCAACAAGCCAGGTGAGAGCTATAGTGTCTTAAATACTTTTTGTCAGGAAATATATAAGAAAATGTTTGATCATGCTCACTAAAGTAACACAAAAAGACAGAGATAGAGTGAGCAATACAGTTTAGTTTTTCTGAGCAGATTGTCGTTGATAATGTCCATGGTTGAATTTGGATCAATTAGGGTCTGGCAGATGTGCAGAATCATGGTTTACCCCAGGGCTTAAAGGATACAATCCAATTTCCCCCAACAAATGTAATACTATTAGCGTGGACAAAAACAGACAAGTCACAAGGGAGGAGTCTCTTAAAAACCAGGGAGGGGGACATGAGGAAGAGAGAGACAGAACAGTGGCTCAGAGGGAAGAGACAGTTCCCGCAAAGGACTTGGAATCAGAGAAACCTAAAGACTGGAAAGTTTAGGAAAACTCAACATTAAGTTTGAGTGACTGAGATGATAGAAAACATGGGAAGAAGAGGATAAACAACCTCACCTGACTACTGCGAAGGACACAGTCTATAGTCCAGAAAGAAGGGCTTACAGGGACAGAAAGAGGTGTAGAGGTAGAGCTCTCACAGAAATCCACCATTGAGAGAACTTTCTTGATTGAACTCCACTTCGGGAAGACTGAGGAAGACAAAACAAGAGGTGAAAAAAGACGACAACTTGCTGC